ATTCTGAACTCATCCTGATCCCAGAGCTCCAACCCCCCCCAGGAATTCTGAACTCATCCTGATCCCAGAGCTCCAAACCCCCCAGGAATTCTGAACTCACCCTGATCCCAGAGCTCCAAACCCCCCAGGAATTCTGAACTCACCCTGATCCCAGAGCTCCAAACCCCCCAGGAATTCTGAACTCACCTGCTTGGTCAAGGTCTGTGTGAGGATTGGGACCAAATACTGCAGTGCCCCCTTGGCATAGAACTTGCTGGTGTGCTCTGGAGGCCTCCCTTGTTCTGCTGCCTGGAAAAAAAAGGGGTAAAAAGGGGGTTTTCAGTGGCTAAAGAGGATGAATTTATTATAAACTCCCTTTAAAGTCATTATGTAATATATATAGAATATATATAAAAATTATATACATATAAAATATATCATAATATATATTACAATAATAGAACATGATACATCATATTAGGCACACCATGCATTATATTATATATTATACATTATATACAATGATTACATTATATTATACATCATATTTTAACAGATACTGTACATTATATTATAAATACTATTATATTATAAATACTATTATATTATAAATACTATTATATTATAAATACTATTATATTATAAATACTATTATAATTATATATCATTATAAATATTAATAGATCCATGACACTAATAGTGCAATATGTAAATATATATTACTAATATACAATATACAGTAGAAAAATAAATAATAATAATAATAATTATTGTTATTATTATTATTATTGTAGTTTTTGTTAGTATTAATTCTTATAAACCCCAACTTTCCCTTTCCATGCTTTCCTCTCCTTCCCCAACACAAATCCGAAGCCAGGAAGCTCAAGGACACCCTGCACCCAAATCAAATATTCCAACACCCAAGCTGAATTTCCCATTCCATGCATGCCCAGATCCCTCCTCCCAGGGCACAATTATCCCTGTTTTCAGTTCCCAGGTCTAATTAACAAGTGGCCCCGAGGTGAAGGAGCAAAAGGTGCTCAGCAAACCTCCCAACCCCACGTGCTGCTGCCTGTCCTTTTCTCCTTGCCTTTTTATTTTTTTGGGAGCATTCAACATAAATATATATTTAGCTGCTTTTAAAGATGGAAATGATTCATCTCTCCAGCCCTTCAAAGTTTCAGCTGTTATTGATCTCTGCAGTTCATTTCTGCAAACAGCATCTGCCTGCAGAACAATACCCCCAAAATCCAGCCCCAGCCATTCCAAGGGATAATTACTTTTATTCCAGCCATGGTTTTTATATTTAACTCATAAATAATGGGTTGTGTGGAGTGGGATCAATCCTTCTGCAGGCTGGGGTAGGACTGAGCCCCTCATGGCTGCGACAGACCCCAAAATTTAAGGGCACAGAGTCCCCCAAAAGAGCAGGGAATTAAAGAACTGCTCTGGATTCCTTGGGATACCTCAATACAACGACTCCAAGAGCAGCAGCTCCAAGATCTGAGAATTCCCTGGCCTGGAGAACATGCTCAGTGCACATTTAGGTTGATCCTGGAGCTGGAGCTGGCTCTGGAATGCTAACAAGGGATCAGGTCCCTGTCAGGTACCACTGGCACAGCCCCAGCCCTTCCTGGCACGGCCAGACCTGTCCCAGAACCTCCAGCTCCATTCCCAGCCTGCCTGGGAAGGATTTTCCTCTCTTCATCTGCTCCAGGAAGGGAAAGGGGCAGAGCTGAGCTTCACTCAGAGCTTTACCTTGAACCACAGAGCTCCAAAACAACCCCAATCCCTCCCTGGGAGGGGGGCGAGGCCCTGGCACAGGTTGCCCAGAGAAATTTTGGATGCCCCTGGATCCCTGGGAGTGTCCAAGGTCAGGTTGGACGGGGCTTGGAGCAACCTGGGATTGTGGGAGGTGTCCCTGCCCATGGCAGGGGGTGGGATTGGATCCTTAAGGTCCCTTCCAACCCAAACCACGCCGGGAATTCCACGATTAAATCTTGGCAGTGACTGTGCAGATCTAAACCTTTGGTGTTATTAAACCAGCACATTTTTGATCGTTATTCCATTACTGGAAAAATCTGGGAGAGGCCTGGGACAGGAGCAGCACCTGTGTTTAAGTGCAGCACAAAATAAACACTCCTGGAAATAGGGAATAAGAAATAAGAGTGGGTTAATGAGGTTTTTTTAAAGAAAATACCAGGTTTGACAGGGCTTGGAGCAACATGGTCTGATAGGAAGTGTCCCTGCCTGTGGCAGGAAATGGAACTGGAATTTTAAGGTCCTTCCAACCCAACCCATTCTGTGATTGTGTGATTAAAGAAAATACCAGGTTTGACAGGGTTTGGAGCAACATGGTCTGATAAGAAGCATCCCTGCCCATGGCAGGAGGTGGAACTGGGAATCTTTAAGGTCCTTCCAACCCAAATAATTTAATCACAGATTAAATGCGTGATTAAAGAAAATTCCCAACGCAGCCCCCTCAGCCGGAGCCTCACATTCACCTCGTGGGGCAGAACGACCTGAGCACTGCTCACCACTGCACTGTTTCAAACCATTCCTGCCCCAAAAACGGGAATTCCAAAACGGGAATCCCAAAACGGGAATTCCAAAACGGGAATTCCAAAGCTCCCGTTCTAAAATAAAAAGGAGAAGCCAAGGCAGGTTTTTTTCAAGGAAAAAAAAAAAGAGGAAATAAAACATTGCTGGTTTCCTTGAACTGTCCCAGCAGCAGCCCCGGCCTGGGGGGGGGGCCCCGGTGGGTTCCCCTTTTTGGGAGAACATTCCCACGACATTCCCAGCTGGATCCAAGCCCTTCCCCACCTCCGAGGCCTCGATGGCCAGATCCATCTCCTCGTCGCACACGTTGGACCAGAACTCGATGCCCTGCAGAGCCACCTCGTCGATGTCGCTCTTCATGGCCTCGATCGTGATCTGGGACAGGGAAACGCCAAAAAAAGGACATTGGAACAGGTTGTTTCTCCCGGAATCCACGCCCCCACTTCGGGCCTGTGGCTGAAACCGGAGGCCACACTGGAGTTTTTGTTCTTGGAGGCTCCAAAGGGGTTCTGTTATCGGCCCTGAGCCCCCTGGGAGGGCACGGACAGAACCAGCATTTGGAGCCTCAGGGCTGAATCCTGCTGGGGGTTACGGGGATTTACAGGGAGAGGGATTGCCAGCAGCCAGGAAAAGGGAGGGAAATCAGGAATACCAGAGGGAGAAAAATGAGGAATACCAGAGGGATTAAAATGAAGAATACAAAAGGAAGAAAAATCAGGAATACAAGAGGGATTAAAATCAAGAATACAAGAGGAAGGAAAATGAGGAATACAAGAGGAAGAAAAATGAGGAATACAAGAGGAATTAAAGTCAGGAATACAAGTGGAAGAAAAAATCAGGAATACCAGAGGAATTAAAATCAGGAATACAAGAGGAATTAAAATCAGGAATACAATAGGAATTAAAATCAGGAATACCAGAGGAATTAAAATCAGGAATACAAGAGGAATTAAAATCAGGAATACCGGAGGAATTAAAATCAGGAATACAAGAGGGATTAAAATCAAGAATACAAGAGGAAGAAAAATGAGGAATACAAGAGGAATTAAAGTCAGGAATACAAGTGGAAGAAAAAATCAGGAATACCAGAGGGATTAAAATGAGGGATACAAGAGGAATTAAAATCAGGAATACAATAGGAATTAAAATCAGGAATACCAGAGGAATTAAAATCAGGAATACAATAGGAATTAAAATCAGGAATACAAGAGGGATTAAAATCAAGAATACAAGAGGAAGGAAAATGAGGAATACCAGAGGGATTAAAAT